AGTTGTGCAACCGTTATAGTGAACACCCTATATAATAATCTCAGTTAAAAGCGGAATTTTTCATGTTTTCTGTAACTCACTTAGGTTTTTTTCTAACTCTTTATAAGAAACTATGTACAGTCAGGGACAGAAATATGTGGACACCTTTCAAAACAAAATAACTTTTTTAAAATTGTACTAAACGACGTCAACCTTTTGTAAGAAGTTAAGATTAGTTTACTACATTATGTGTGAAAAAAATTTTGAAAAAATTGCAACAAATACAATTGGTGAAATCGCTTAAGAAAATAGAGAAAGTCCCTTTTGACAATCTTTTTATTTGAGTTCGTAATGGAAATTTAAAGAATACGTTTTATGGATTTATGTCAGTTATATACATGCTGAAAATTTCATTGAAATCGGTTCATGCAGAAACAAGCCGTAAGTGTCGAAAGATGTAAGAATCTTTAGATTTATCACAGTTATGGGCCGAAAGTCGTGAAAAACTGCGATTGTCACTATCTTTAACCGTTTGTAGCTCATAGCAATGTTAATCGATTTCAATAAAATTTTCAATATGTATATAGCTAACATAATTCATTACGTGTAGAAGTTCAAAAAGGTTGTAAACAATGTCTTTTTTCTTCGCGATTCCGGTCAATTGTAACTTTGTCAAAATTTTTTACACGTCATGTAGTAAACTAATCCTTCTAATTTTTTAAAAAAGCTCAAGTCAAAAATAGTTACTTTGTTTTGGAGAGTATCCATATATTTCTGTTTCTGACTGTATATTGGATTTTGAATTTTATTATTGTCTTATTTCCAATTAGCAGTTCTTTATCGGCAACAAATAACACGATACTATACGGAATCCCGTATAAAATTATATGAGGAATAATTCCTATTTATTCTTGCATCGCGGTAGGACAAATTAAAATTTATAACTGCGCATTACACTGTTAATAAGAAAGAATTTAATATTTACTTTCTTCTAAAGTTTCAACAAAATTAGCAAGCATTTTGTTTATGTTCTTTCTAAAACAACAAATTACAGACTACGTGTAGAAAAATAAATTGAATGGCTTTATAAGAACTGTCTTTTAATAATAATTTTATACCACAACAGTAAAATATACTTACCAACTGTTTATAGAAATTAACTTTTAGAACTTACTAAACATTTTAGTATCCTCTATCATAAAGTATGTATATTACGTATTATTTAGTTTTTTGTAACCTCTTTAACAATTTTACATTAATAAAAATAATTGAAAAAATGAATTTATTGTATTACATAGGTAAGTATGTACAGACAGTTGCATTACAAGGTACAAATACATTTGTACCATTAGGTTAAAAAAAAAAACAATTTATACGTGTAACAATATTTCAAGGATGCTATTAAGCCATTCAGTTATTTTCTCTGCAATTAATATAAGAAGCAAGTTTCCACATTAGAAAATGTGCACAATGTAGAACATGAAGGTTATAAATGAATTTGAAATATTTCAAAGTAAATATAATTTTAAGTATAAAATGTGAAACTTATCCAATTACTTTCACTGTTCCCTTCAATTATTGTATAAAGATCGGTGAGAGAAAAGGTTATTCTATAATATGATAAAAAATTATTTTTTCATAATATAATTTTGCCATTTGTTTATGCCTGATTTGCCGCAACTACACATTTTCCTAAGAAAAAAATGTATAAATCATTCCAGTCTATAATCACCTCTCGTATTTGAAACTGCTGCCTTCAGACAATAAATCCATATTTTTTCAATACTTCATAATTACCAGATAAAAATTGTTTTGCTATGTACCATCCTTCCAAAATGTCCGTTCAATTCACACTATTGGTCAACAATTTGAAATCATTTGCCTAATTGTACCAGTATCCAATCTCCTGTCTCTAATCAGAATTACGGACCTTATTAACAATTTATATTTTTTCAACAAACTACAGTAGTATAAAATATTTTAAACTAACATTACTTCTTCTAAAAATTCTTACTCTCCTTGTAATATGCAATGTGTAAATTTTTTGTCAACAGTGTATACTGGGTGAACCACGCAGTCGGACTGGGGTGTGGTATCTCTTATTTGTTTAGAGACAGAAAAAAGTTGTAAAAGAGGAAGTTTAATGGTACAAGAATGGCTACCTTCCTACGGCTTCACCTTTTTCGTAAGTGCAATAATGCTCTTAAGAAATGCAAATGCACTTTTTTTTAGAAGGAACTGCATTTCTTTTTAACGTAGATCGATTCTTCGGAACATCTTGAAATATTAAAAGTATTAAGATACAATCTTTAAGATATCAATATTTCATGAGACATTTCAAATTTTTGATAAGACGTGCATATGTTTCCTCGAAAATGTGACAGCGAAACATTCGAAAACCTTCTTGAATAAATTGGTTTGATTTTTCGGAACATTCTGCGTATAAAAGTATTACTTATGGTATGATGTTAAAAATATCAATACTTGGTGAAATATTTCAAATTTTTGATAATGCTTCTACGACGGTGCGGCGGAATATTTGAACGTCTTTACATGTATAATAAAGCAAACGTCTTATAATAAATTTGAAATATGTTACGGGCTATTGATTTTTTAAAGATTGTATCTTAATGCTTTTAATATTTCGTAAGAATGACGAAAAACAATGCTTTTTCAATTTTTAGGAGTTTACATCGTTGAATTTATGAAAGAAGTGAAGCCGTAGGAACATAAGTACTTACTTAGATCTTCTTGTACCACCTAACATTTTTCTGTACAACTTTCTTCTATCTCTAACGAAACACGAGATACAACTCGGCCCAGTTGCGAGATTTAAGTCGTATACATTTAAAGTACCATTACTGAACTGCTGCGAACCGCCCTTGTTATTTATTTATGATCAATCATTTTATTTTTCACGTGTAGTTGATGTTCGTCCCTTTTAAAGGATCACTATGTCTCTCTCATAATGTACTTACATACATACATATGTGTAAAAATCTGTGTATAACCCTGTTCACGTAATGAGAGCGCGCGCGTGAAATCGCTGTGCGAGTTGAGCGCAACGAGAAATTATAGGTGTTTAATTGATTTATAAGAGTGCAAAACGTTTCTGATATTATTGAAACTCTGAATGGGCGCTTTGTATTCCAGGTATGTAGATGATAAAGTCTGAGAATTATTTTCGTTATCAAGTTTACCGGGTGAATGGAGGGTGAATGGAGGACAAAGGGAGCCGCATTTTTCGGAAACAGGGTACAATTACATATTTACGTATATGTATAGTTAATGAGATGAAGAAAAAGTAATATATTTTGTTGTAAATGTGTTACGGAAAGGCTGTTCGTACGTGTCCGTAGAGAAACAATGTATACATATTATACCAGTGAGTGTGGAATCGAGTGTGATATATTTTATGAACGTTCTTAGATGGATTATACGTATATATTGTATAAAGGGCGAGACACGTAAAGCGTGTCAGAAAATCCGTTTTTGGGACCTGCGAAACGCACCGCTTGAGACCAGATTCATTGTCAGCTCACCCGTGCGAAGTGACTCACCTTTGTTTTTTCCTAGGCCAGATTCGCCCGCGCAGCGTGCAGAATCGGGCAGGACGACGCGGAATCACTTTTTACGAGACCACCGGATGTGTTACTTGATGGTCGACACTTGTACGTCGCGACCATATTTCTGCAGCAAATACAGTTTGTTTTGTGAAAGTTAACAACGCCTTAGCAATTTTGCTCCTACTCTATTTTCGACTTGGAGTGTTTCTGACAATCGTGACAATTGAATATTATCAAAAATATTCGTAATATGAAAAAAATATTAGGATGCATTGAAGTATTTTAGGGGGCACATTTTTCAGCATAATTCAGTTTTTTTGTACACGAAGATGTCAAGTATATTTCAAGGTTATCGCCTTCTTTCTTAACAGAACCGTATATTTTTCAATATGCACAAGTATATTTCACACTCGGACGAATTCAATGATGAGTCATTCAAGGTCTATCAAAGTCACAGGTAAAGAAAAGACAGTTATATCCTTCCAATTACATTTATTTGTAATATTCTAATTTTTCTTGGATTACTATCGTTTAATCTTATTGGAAATGGGTTACGAAAAAGAAATTGTCTTTTAACTTTGAATGTTCACATTGAATGTTCTAAAGGACTGTATCTGGGCACCCAAAAAGAAAGTTGGGGTCCCCTTATACCTAGGAACTGTTTACTTTATGGTATCGCATTGTGCAGTGCGTGACTCGAAGACTGACACCAGACACATCTGGTGGAAGTATTAGTGCCTTTGTTTAAAATAACGCGGAGACATTTTTGTCCTCACTTGATTATTTCCATAGGGTGTTGATAGAAATAATCCAACAAATCCGGTGTTCGAAATGTTGGTCGCACCCTACTCAATATTTCTGGTGTCACTTCAGCACAAGTTTGACCTACCATAATTTTCATGTAGGAACCGACGACATCATTCTTTGTCTCAGATAGACCTTGATTAACCTTTAGTGATTATAATCATTGAATTTGCCTGAGTATTAACTACATTTACGTGTATAAAAAGATATGCAGTTCCGTTTGAAAAAAAGGTGATGACCTTAAAATACCCTTTGACATCTTTGCGTACAAAAATTACGTTATTAATGTAAAATAAATACTTCAATTATTCTTAACAACATTTTTTCGTACCACCAATATTTTTAATAATATTCAACTGTCATGCTGTACGTGCGTCACCCTGTATACATAACACATATTACAAAATAGAAATCGGATAAATTCTGATGTGTCATGCTCGGTTCAAACGGACAATTTTGCCCGCGCTTGCTGTTGTGGACATTTATTGCAAGTTTAAGCAGTATGTATATACATATGTACATATACATATACAGTATGAAGAAGTTCACAAGAGCATGTGTGGAAAGGTGCACGGGTTTGCAGCGAGAAAAAACGTACGGGTATATACTATCGACTGGCTATGATATCGGAATTGTTTTACGGTGAGCTAGAATAGTTGCAGATATTGTAGTGTATAAATGTTGGAAAAATTTCTCACAGTCTTCTAACACTGTCGTCTCGGAACAGAGTATACGACTGACAATGAGTATCATTTTCCCATTAAGTATGCACTACCATAATATTTTTATCGGTACCGTTGCGTGTCTGCTGAAAGTACGTGTGTGTCGCGTCGCGTTCTCCTTTGATTATTCAAAATGTTCGCGCTCACGACTGTTACCCGCCAACTTAATCTTAGGTAACTAATTCAAAAATTTGTCTTGCTCGGAACGTTAGCAAATTTAGAGTTTGTCACGAAAACGATTGACGACTTTTTTTAAATTCGAGTATTCGATCGCGACTCCTACTTGTGTCTCGTTGAATGGCTGGAGAATGTGTTGTTCACACGAGAGAATCCTTGCGAATGCGTTTCTCGATCCCCGAATTTTTCTGGAATCCCCAGTGATTCCCCCGCCAAGTGTAAGAAAGGCACGCTGACTGGTTTTTCACGAAAGTACAAATTACCAATCAACGTGCCCCTTGAGTGTCACCCACCCTTCCCTTGCGCCCTTAGCGCGCTTTTCCTTGGAAGGAGTGGGGCCATACCTGCGGGTGCGTGGCATCTTCGCTGTCCTTCCGTGACGTGTCGGAAATTCCCGCCAGGTCAACCCTCGGCCGAAAGTACCGTTATGCGCGCGTGTGGATTGACCTTTCAGGAATACCTGATTTATGACACGTCTTCGATTATTGAGGACGCGGAAAAGTCGAAATTCTAAAGGCATTGTTCTGTAAGAAATTACTTCTTTTTTCGCGGAGCTACGAAGCGTCTTTGTTCTCAAAAATAACCTTCGAGTGCGAGCGTGCCATAAACCCAGTCAACGAAGACCCCACGCGTTCCGTACCTGCGCGACAGAACAGCGTGGATAAAATTCGTTTGTCTGAACCGAGTCTTAGTCAGACTACCATGAACATGTCTTTCCGGCTATTACGTATTAAGAACGTGTAATAACTTTCTCCACACATGATTGCACATGATATACAAAATTGAGCGAGCGGCTTACTCTCCTTACTTCTATGCTGTCCCGACTGCCAACTTACCAGCTCTGCGCAGTACTTATCCAATTTGTAAATAAAGGTTCTTAAAAACAGAAAAAACAGCAGCATTCCACTTAAAATTTAGTTTTCTTCTTTCCATTTTTTTAGTGATTTCTGTTTTTTGCGTAGAATAGTCCTGATTTTATATGAGTATTGTTTACATAATTTCAAATTAGACAAAAGTTGTGTAAATACAAATAAATTAAGATTTCCAGAAAAATTTTTAAATTAATACCTATTATAAATACTAACATTACATATCAAATCTTTTCATACTCTCGTCTTCTTTCATTTTCATTTCATTTTAATGTTATGTTTAGAAGTGGTTAATGACCGTCTTAAATATGAATTTATCAGTAAGTGATAGAAAAGGACTGATATCGTACTTTAAGCATTCGTTTTCAAAATGAGGTGAAAGTAGCTTTCTCCACTTGTCCATCTAAGGAACGCCATTGTTGATTTCCACCGACTTATTTTTGAGAACGCGAATTCAGTACCTACCATATTTACGATGAAAATTAATTTTCTTCATGTTAAACTCCAAAATTTTGATTTTTTTTCTTATCTTTTTCTCACAATTGTATTTTATTTTATAAATGACATCACACGTAATTAAGTACTATATCACTATTGAACGTTAATGTAACGCGAATACTCGAGACGAAAATACACATGTCCAGATTCTATTACTTCAATTTTCTTAAAGCGTCCATCAATATATGTACTTCTTGATTGACGTTATACACGAGGTTCTCGATTTGATTTTTGCTATCGATTATGTTGATGCTCTGAGTGTATGGATCATACCTCACTCCAAACTTCCTCGGAATAGTCTCAGCGAATTTACTGCAAGCAGAAGTAAGAATTGTGAATCCTTAAATAGGCATAATCTGTAACTACTTATACGGAAATTGATTTTACAAAGAGTAACATTTAGTTATAAGAGTCAAAGAAATAGTGCTTGAAGTAACACGTAATTAAATACATTTAAATCAATAAGTGTATGGAATACTCGAAACGTTTAGCTTACCAAGCCTTAAGAGAAAATATTTGAATTGTTCTTTATTTATTAAAGTAATTATTTCAATGTGTTAAACGATATGTTGTAATTTGTAGTTCATATTTGAAAAAGCAAGCAAAAGTATATAAAACTTAATATAGATTTCCCTTTGAGAATGTTAAGATAAGCTCAAAATTAACTTCAAGGTACAAAACCAAAAGTATTATTTTCACTTTCTTTGATTTCATATAAAAAAATGGAAAAGATGTAAGATTCTAATTCAGAGTTACAAACTGACAAATGCTTTTTTACCATTTACTACATTTAATTTTCAATTAAATAATTAGTTTTGAATTGGTCAATGTTAAATACAATTTTATTGACAGGCCAATGTACGGAAACTATGAAAATGATATTAGATGAATCTCTTGCATTTATAAGTCCATGATTTCTATATGTCTTTGGTTTTATGTTTTAAGTAGCTACTTATAAGGGAACTTCGGTAACCCGAAAATTCCGATTTTTTTGAAACTGTAGGTTTGTAGGGGACCTCAAGAGAAGTATCGGGCAATTTTTTTTGGCCCAATTTCGGTTCTTCGGGGTGAAAACGGCCCTTGAATGAAGATAAGTAAATACCAAAAAAAATTCCAATATTCGCACACATACTTGGTAACGCATCGTTCCAAGTGCGACGATGACTTAAAATTATTTAAATATTACATTATTCGATAAGATTACCATATTTATCTGCATTTATTTGACATATTTTTCGATATGATAGAAAATTCCAAATTTTTCACAAATTCAAAATTTTTCACAACGGTAGTGGAAGATTTTTTATTTAAAAAAACAATTTTTATTAATTTAATAGCATAGTCTTATAAGGCATAAAAAGCCATTAAATTTTTGTTATAAACATTTTTTTTATATCTATTATAGTTTTAAAGATATAGAGGGAAATGGAAATAGGGTAGATAACACTTATTTTCATTCAAGGGCTGTTTTCACCCCGAAGAACCGAAATTGGGCCAAAAAAGAAATTGCCCGATACTTCTCTTGAGGTCTCCTACAAACCCACAAAGTTTCAAAAAAAGCGGAATTTTCGGGTTACCGAAGTTCCCTTGTTAGTACTAACTACATTATGCGGAACAAGACATTAACGGTTGTCATTCTGAACAATTCTATCTCACATTTTAGATGAAAGTTGCATCATTTATTAGACTATTCATACAAAAATTTCAGGCGTCATTCACGTTCAATAAATCTGACACAGGCCTGAAAATACAAATTAAAAAAGAAAGTACTTTAAATTTTGCTCATTACAGAAACGTAAATAATCATTACGTAACCTCTTTCAATAAGATACGTACATGCGTGTTTACTGATAGAACATTAAAAATCACTAAATCCAGAGATTCGCTTCTTTTTACTGAAATTGTAAATAATTATTTTACAAACTTTCATCAAATGCTATGAACTAGTACGCATTTTAACTGATTAAAGATCATGACATTGAAATTTTCAACTTGAAAAATTGTTTATTTCATGGTTCTTGTCGCAATAATTGTGAATATACGTATTTCTTATGTAAAGTAAAACATTGACGTAGTATAAAATATCTTTTACATAGTTCAGGCCACTGAATTTTTAGACTATATTCATAAATGTACATGCATAATATTATTTCAGTAGTGGAAATTTAATGTATTTATGGAATATTTTTATATAAAAAAAGATAATAAAGCATATTAAAGTATATGATTAAGAATATAAGTACTAAAATGTAATTACTAAACATTTGTATGTAAATAAACACGCAAGTATTATTAAAAATTACGTTCAATTTAGATGTCATGGTACTGATTAAAGAAAAAGGTATCCGCTTAATTACTTCAAGCACCATATATAATTCAGCAGTTTTGTTAAATAATACTAATCATGATAATTTCGACTGGCTTACCATGTCTACGTAACTTTGCTCAGAGGGCGAGACGTTCATGAGCGATAAGGTAATCAGTATGCTAAAAAGTTCAGCTATTTTACTCACATCATCTTCTGTTTCGCGTCTTCGAAATTTTCAGCGACGAAATACACAGGCTGATACTCGGTTATCGGATATTTTTGTAACGCTGTTTTCACCGGTTCAAAAGGTCGCAGTTCTGGTTTACTGCTTAAGCAGTACTCGAGTTCGCCGAAAGAAGAGAGCAGACCAGCACCGTAGGCCTTTAATTCACCATTTTGCCGACAAATGCCGTACTCTACCGTGAACCAGAAGCACTGAAATCAATTTCAGATGATACTGTGAACTTCACAAATTTGTAATCATATTTTTAAGTGGCTCACAATGGAAATTGTTTAAAAAGTTCATTTTTCGATTGAAATATTCAAATGCTACTGAAAGATTGATTTTCTAATGTAGCGTTTGCATTTTATTCTGACATCTGTGTTATATTTTTATAAACTGAAACGTAACATATTTTGATTTTGGTGTTTTTTTAGGATTCGATCTAAAGTCATTTCGAAGAAAGCATTACTTTATTTCCTCTGAATGATGTCGTTTTCGTTTACTTCTAACTATGTATTTGTTTCCAGCAGTATCTTTTGATCAATTTACATTCTTATGTCTGAAAATGTACAGGAAATGTATATAATGTATATGAATTATGGCCTCCTTGAATAAAGTAAAAGTCTTAGTACTTAAACAATCGTTAATGTTATATGTATATTTTCTATTAAGCTCGTTGAATTTGTCTCAGTGTCTGTTAATCGATAGGCGGAAAATAAACTATAAGGTTAGAGGTATATAAAAAAATTGATCGTGACTTTGAAAACTTATTTGATCCTTATGTCAATAACCGGGTATTCGGGTACCCTTTTGCATAAATCTCACTTAAAATATTTGATCTTCCAGGTGAAAGATTTAAATATCCGGCGAGATCGTTCCTATCCGTGTTTGCCTCGAGTTTAGAATTTTGTTATCAGAAAACTACTAAAATTGGACGATAAAGTAGACGACAATTGTCCTTCGAAACCGTGTCATTAATAACGAAAATAATAGAGGTGAATACGTTATGCGGTTGATCCGGTATAATAACTTACCGTAGCCAACTTTTCGATGTACTCGTCAGGGGCACCGAGAGACGCTAAACCGACAACTTGACAAAATTGAGCGAATGAAGGATCAGCGAACAAAGGTACGTGACCTAATACTTCATGACATATATCGGGTTCAGGTGTGTATAGTGGTTTACTGCTATGCCGAATGTATTGCGTGGAGTGAAATACTCTAAAAGCCAGGCCAGCTAGAAAGTCACGCGAAGAGAGCAGGCCAGCCACTGGTCGGAGTGTGAAACCAGTACAATCTATGAAGAAATTAAAGAATATCGCAAAATTACGAAAATTATTATAGATATGTGACAGACTATTTTTTAATTAATCGTACAGTGATAAGATAATACAAAATGAATGTTTAAATAATTTATGAAGATACATGTACATTATTTATGCAACAATGAATGTTTTAGTTCAGCTTGGTCTTATAAACGTAACAACAACTTGCTGTTAATCGTATTCTGCAGATTTAATTTTGAAAATGTGTTTCTACGTTTCCATAACAAAGGGATATTATGTACATAAAAGAAAACTGGAGCATTTAGTTAAAGTTATTTTACACTTTGTTGAATAACGTTAATTTAACCTAATTATTTCCAAAATCTTAACGTAAATAAATAATACTTTTTATCATGTTACTTATAGCGAAAGAGGTTCTTATTATGTATGTCAAACGTAATACATATCGTTCAGTGCAAAGTAAGTTATGAAGGTGGGTTTAGAGATGATAAAGTACAAACGAAGATGACGACGACAATTTTTGTCGTATAATTATCTTTCCTTCAAGTTCATCGCGGTTATCAAATTCTTTTTCAATAATAGTGTATATTCTTATCCAGTACTTATTACGTATGCATATTCTCATCCAGTACGTATCAACATTAGAAAGATTTAAACTGTTTATGCATATTTAAAAATGTACCTATTAAGTTTCTAAGCTTTATTTACAATGAGAAGAATGATGCTGTCATTTTATTAGCTATTGTATTATATAATTGCAATGGCACTCTATGTATTCCTTATAATGTGCATTACACATAGGCAAGCTAAAGATTTTGTATAATTATGAAGAAAGTTCTGATAAAAATAGCTCGAGCATTCTAGATCTTTCAATTTATAAATCATTTATATACTATATTGTATTTTAATAAAATAGCTAGTACCTTTTAAGAAATTTGATATATCCTCCAATTGAGGAATGTTGTCTTCCCTGTAACCGCAATTTTCTATGAGCAAGGGAAACACGTGATTATGCTCCTTGCAGGCGTATTTGGGATAAAGTTTCGTCAAGTTCCTAAACACAACACCCCATGTTTCAATCTCTTCTTTAGTGTACTCCACTTTCGGTATTGGTTGGCCGCTGAAACGTAATATCATAGAAGTATTATTGTAAAATCTTCTTTTCGGAATATTAAGAAGTTATCATAAATAGTAACAGTGTTGATTGCAAACATTATCGAATATTTTTTTGATGTATAGCCTTTAAGATTTTTAATTGTTCTAAAAATAACACTTACTGTTTATAATTATAAGCTAAATCAGCGAAATATTTGCGCCTTTGTCGATAAACTGGATCGGTAAATCCTGGATGATCACTGTCCAATTCTGATCCGTAAGAGAGAATTTGGTTGGCAAATTTGTCCAGATCTCTAATTCTTCTGGGGAACCATGGCACTGTTCCCATATTGTCTTTGTGATTTCTACAAGCGTAAATAACGGTCAAGATTATAGAATACTTACTTATAAACGATACAATTATGGAAATTATGTTCATTGTAATACACACATACATGTGTAATTGAAATTGAACGAAGGAGACGGTATGATTATTGCGGTCGTTGAATTTGTTTTTTCATTCTCTACAAGGATATTGAAAAGAAAAATATAGGTTCAAAAAAATAACGATGACCTTGATATCTCGTAAAAACTGATCTTGAAAGAAAACCGTTTCCATGATTACACGTGCCCCCTACAATAGTGTAACTTTGTCCTGAGAAGTTCTTTCATACAACAACAAATAAGGCAGATATTTAGGTGATCTCATTTAGCTGAGCCACCCTGCGTATCCACGATTTATGTACCGCTTAGGACAATTTTATACAAAAAACCATGTGTAAAAACAATCAAATTTAAATCGTCCAAAAATCACTTTAATTAAAATTTAAAGAGTGGGCGAAAGCAAATCTCAGTAAAATTATATATAAATATATAAAAAGATGAATATGCAAATGAATATGCAAACGAATATGTTCAAATGAATATGCAAACTTCCAGACGTTACAAAATTCATTTCTGTCACATGAATTTTTACTAATAATTCTATTTTATCTTAAAAAATTATACCGCTGTTTTAGCAAGAAATTTTCAAAGTTTTAATTACTGCAACTCGTTAAAGCGTTTAAAAGTGTATTAATTTCATATAGAATTGACGTTTGTAAAGTTATCTTAAATAACTAATCGACTTTTATTGCTCAAAAGAACAGCAGATGATGAGATGATGCATATTAAGTAGAATGAAAACATTTATGTACCTAGAAATGATCGAAAAGTAGCTACATTGTTCGCGCAGGCTCTGGATCACTGCGCCGAGGTTTCCGTTTGGTGCGCATTCCACCATGAATTCGTAAGCGTTCGTTTGACGAAGGGAGCTTCTAGATTCGATATGCAACAAATTAACTTCATGTTTCTGCAAATGAAATAATGTACACGTGAAGTCATTGCGAGAAAAGCTTAGCAAGTGGCCTAAAAATTTAATTGGGACGTACATATTAGTTTCAAGTAATAAAATTTCATTCGAGGAAAAACAGATGAAATTTACTACACTTACAGCGAAGAGATTGAGATATCTGCTTAACGCTCCCACAGAGTCTTCCTCTTTCGGGGAGAATAACAGACAGGTGCTTTTTGCTGAGTCCTTGCCCTCTTTGATGTAGTTTCCTCCATGTACCAATTTAGGCTTTTGAAAGTATTTTTATATTAGCATATTATAATTTTAATTCATTTAATTAAGTCTGACCACGCATCATAAATATTTATTACAGAGATTATGCAGTATAAGTACTTTCAATTTTACGAAAGACATTATTTTTATATTTTGAATTGATTTCGTCTCGCATTAAATATACAACGGTAATGAAATCTAAAAGGAGCTTATTTCTTTATTCATATTCAGCTATAAATTAAAAAGGAAAATTCGTGAAAATTCTATCTCAATTCAATTACAATATCTCATTAGTGAAATATGATTTACGACAGAAATAGGGTACAAAGCCTAAATAAAAAAATTATACGCGACAAGTATAAAGTACATTTCATTAAAGTTACCAATTAGAACTGTTGTTTGATTGTAATGAATTGTAACATTCATGACGTGACAATTTGTTCGAGTATTTCTGTTTTCAGTGAAAATGAATTGGCTAACAAAATTTAAGGATACAATGTAATTCAGTTTGAAATCAAATATGAAACCTATATGTACATAGTACGTGTATGTTAGTTTTAAACGATATAAAATAATAGGCATAGACTAATTTCCTGTACAATAAACACAATGAATAAAATATTTGTATATCTAATTCACTTTAATTAAAACGTAAAAAGCATCTTCCATCTTCTTCGTTAGTATTACCATTCATAAAACTACAAATAACTAACAAACTCTACTTCAACTTTTCTAATCTATAGCATAATCTATAGCCTAATATAATCTATATACGTTATATATATATTTATGTTTTATCCCAGTAAAAATTACGGAATAACAATTTTCAATCTCCAAGAGATGACTGCACGTTTATATTTAAATTAAACCCACTGCAACACCAAGCAAAACTCACAATTCGAACTATAATGTCTCGCTACACTGCAATACATTTGAAATATATCAATGTCAAACACGTGCATAACAATTCTTGTTCTTGTTCCATTTTCAAGGTAGGTAGGTAGATATACAGTACGTATGAGGAGAAATGAACGACTATCCGTTTAGAAAAATCCTTACATCGTGCATCGTTAACGAGACTTTGCCGCAATCCTCAGACAGAGATGAATGGAAACAAAACGTACCGTCGTATTCACACCGGACAGATTTACAGAAACTACGCTTCGTTAACCCGTTACACGTCTACTTTATACAGTCACCAATGATCCCCCCTTTCGTTCAATATTTGCTACATTTTTCAATTTTTCACGAGGAAAAATGAACTTCAGTTTTCTTAGACATTTCATTCTTCAATTCTCATAATACGAGGAAAATGGTGTACGTATTTTCCACAACAATTTTTTACATAAAATGAAATGACGAAAGAAATACAATTTGTTTCACAATCGTGTAATTTTCGTCACTTTTGCATCATGCTAATTGCAACGGATAGTATTGGGTGTCAAGGTCGATTTCACTGGACGAAATCTTTTTTTGGTTAAACTCGCGGTGAATGTAAAACCGTGTTATTGAAATTCATCGTCTTTCTAGACGGCGAAATACAAGCGTTCTCTCTTCCCTGAAGGCGTGCAAATCAAGGATTGTCGTGAAATCAAGGAAATTAAATTGTGAATTTTTAAGTACGCAGAAGTGTAGAAAAGAAGAAAGTAGGATAGGAAGTTATACTAATATCGGTTTCCTTGAGATTTTTACAGAACATATTTGGTTGAAAGCATTTTCAGATCTTTTGAAATAGATAATTGATACGTGTGAAGAAATTACTATCTACGCGATTAAAAATTTATATTTATTAAGTTATTTCCTTCTTATTTGTGTCTGTTTGGACGGATTTCTTTGTATGTTTTGAAACGTCCGTTATAAATATTTGAATAATTACTTGTAACATATTCAAAATTATTGTTAAAATTACTATCGCTATTGAAAAAAACACGATAGTGCATTAATTAGTTTCTAATTTGATGGTTTTGCATACATACGTCTCTTTCTTTATAGTTAAAGACATTTTATTTCAAATATTTCTTAATAAAAAAAAAA